CTCTGTCTGAGCCCTGAGTGGTGATTCTATTTAATAAATAAATACATACATACATAGTTGCAGTGCCACTGGTGACCACTAGAGGTCCTGAAAGCTACAGTTTATGCTTCATTAGAGAAAAACACACATTCTGCATTAAGCACTGGTGTGATAGGGACATTCATTTTAAACAATCAATCAGTTATTCAAGAATGTTTGGGGGATTTAATTGTTTGCTTTCACTGTAATGCAACTTTAAAAGACTTGTTTCTTTACACTCATAATAAAAAGGGGCTACAGTTTATGCTTCATTAGAGAAAAACACACATTCTGCATTAAGCACTGGTGTGATAGGGACATTCATTTTAAACAATCAATCAGTTATTCAAGAATGTTTGGGGGATTTAATTGTTTGCTTTCACTGTAATGCAACTTTAAAAGACTTGTTTGTTTACACTCATAATAAAAAGGGCAGCCTGGGTTAGCAACAACAACACACACACAGCAAAACGCGACAGTGACGCAAGGTCCTGGCAGACAGGATGCTGATTATGCTCTAGATTATCAGCTGCTGGCAAGAGTCTATGTACACACACGCACACACACAGTTTGTTTTGTCTATTGTTGCATTATTTCAGCTACTGTCACTAAATTAATTCCCCTTAATCTGAATGTATCTTTGATAAATCACTTCCGCCCTATCCTTTCTGTGTGCGTGTGTTTAACCCCTGGTCTCTTGCTGCAGGGCTAAAGCTGTTGTTGCCTCACATGGTGTTGTGTTGCTGATTAAATATTTGTCATCAGCTGCTCAGGTCAAGCGCACACAAACAGGGAGTAGCATGCTCAGATTAACACATGTACTAATGCACCAACACACACACACACACACAGGGCCGTCCTTAGCTGACGCGGGGCCCGGTGCGAGGTAGGGAGCGGGGTCCCCCTCAGTCCGTTTGAGATCGCGTTCCGGGGAGGGGTCCCCCTCGATCCGTTCACCGCGGGGCCCGGTGTGACTGCACCAGTTGCACCCCCCTAAGGACGGCCCTGCACACACACTCACAATCTTTCAGACCTGAAACACTTAAAATATGTAAGATTCAACTTTATTTTGCAATTGCTTTAAACATGCATTATTGTGCATGCAACAACAATGCTTCATTAGCGAACACTGTTATTAAATGTGTCAGTGAGAGATTAGAAATCAGCACTCAATAAACAACAACAGCAACACCCTAGCAACCACCCAAAAAACATAGCAACTGCATAGAAACGTGTTAGAACACAATCAAAATCCAAGGTGTTTTGAATGTTTGTTTGTTTTTAAACCTGTTACTATGTTGCACAGTAAGACCTTAGAAATCACCCAAAACACCATAGCAACTGCATAGCAATACCCTAGCAACCACCCAACACACAATAGCAACCATATAGCAACCCCCTTGCAACCACTCAGAACACCATGGCAACATGTTAGAAAAAAATCAAGACTTTAGGTGTTTAAATATTTTTTTAACATGTTGCTATGCAGTTGCACAGCACCACCCTAGAAACCACCCAATACACCAAAGAAACTGCATAGCAACAACATAGCAACCACCCAAAACACCATAGTAACCGCATCGACATATTAACAACCGCATAAACATGTTGTTGTGCAGTTGCACAGCAACACCCTAGCAACCACACATCACCACAGCAACGGCATAGCAACATGTTAGAACGCAATCAAAATCTAAGGTGTTTTGAATGTTTGTTTGTTTTTGAACATGTAGCTATGCAGTTGCTATGGTGCTGTGTGGTTGCTAAGGTGTTACTATGCAACTGCCTAGCAACATGGTAGAACACAATCCAAATCCAAGGTGTTTGGAATATTTGTATTTAAACATGTTGCTATGCAGTTGCACAGTAACACCTTCGAAACAAACCTAAACACTTAAAATAGGTAATATTCCATTTTAATTGGGAATTTCTTAAACATGCATTATTATGCATGCAAACAACAATGCACGCGCTGTGATTAATCCATGAGAGATTAGAAATAAACTAAGAAAACAGGCCCTTCATCTGATTGGCATTTAATCCCGTTTGTGTTCCCATTTGCGGCACGCTTTCCTGCCCTGTGAGCATGTGCATTAACCTACAGACAAGCATGCAACGAGTGTCGTCGTTAGGATGTTGACACATTGCTTAATTGGCTTTGGACCTATAGGCAGTTTAGCGCTCTGGAATAGCGGGATTATCGGAGGAGCGGTTGTCGTATGTTAGCAGGGTTAAAATACATCTTCACAATGAAGTGAACAATGAATGGAACTGCAGTCACAGCTATTATTACCTTAATATTTATACATATTCCCAGAATGCGCTTAAGCACCATCAGCTACTATGCAGCTAAAACATATATGAGCATATGAATAGTCATTGGCTTCTGTGCTCTCAAAATATTATATGATCATAGCAACATAAAACATTAGAAACTTAAGGTCCTTTGAATGTTTGTTTTTTTAGCATGTTGTTAAAACAGTTGCACAACAACACCTGAAACACCATAGCAACCACATATCAACATGTTAGAATGCATTCAAAATGTAGATATTATGAATTTTTTTTTTGTTGTTGTTGTTGTTCTGCAGTTGCCTAGTAACACCCTAGCAACCACCCAGAACACCATAGAAACTACATAGTAACTTGTTAGAACACATTAAAAACCTGTTTTTAATGTTTGTTTGTTTTTAACAAAACCTAAGGTGTTTTAAAAGTTTTTTTACATGTTGCTATGCAGTTGTACAGCAACACACTAGCAACTGCAAAGTAACTTAGAAACCCCTAAAAACCTCAGGTGTTTTGAATTTTTTTAAAAACGTTACTAAACACCCTAACAACCACCCAAAACACCATAACTGTCAGGGATTCATCACAGTCACCATCCAGGATAATCACCCGATCACAGTCACCAATCAAGCCACACTACAAATACACACACATCTCAGTCACTCACTGTCCGGTCTACCATTCACTCTTATGAACTGTTCTGGACTCTCTCTACCGAATTCTCCTAGAAAGACTTACCTTCTGTTACTCCCGCGATCCTCCAACGACTCCTTGGAATCTGTTCCACGATCTCCAACGAAACCGGCATAAGATACTCTCCATCAGAACTCAGATAAGAACCCTGGAATCATTCACTGTGTTGACACTCACCTGCCTTTACCTCACCAGTTCCATTCATCTACTTATCAAGTCAATAAACCATCCTGTTTTGCACTTACCTGTTGTGTCTGGCCTTGCTTTGTGACAATAACAACCCCATAGCAAACTAAGGTGTTTTGAATGGTGTTTTTGTTTAGTATGTTGCTATACAGTTACACAGCAACACCCTTGCAACCACCTAGCAACATATTGAATTGAGAATGCTTTTTAAATTCCTGATTTTAAGTATCGTTTAACATACCTGTTAAAGAAATAGCTAATAGTTTAAATACTTATAGTTTATATACTGATTGAATCAATTGTGCATTTAGTTGTTGATTTTGTAGGGAGGTGTAGCTGACTGAGGCCAAAAACTGAGAAATGCAGTGTAATATCTGCTAGCTTTTTACATGTCTTCAGATATTGTAATTTGGTAAAGCATGTGTGTGAATGTGCGTATGTCAGTTTTCTGCGCTGGTCTCAGTTGGTACAAGTGTTTTGAGCTCAGAATGTAATGTTTTGTTTGAAAGCTGTTTCAGATTTAGAGCTATTCCTATACTTGAGTTCTGGTGGACTCTAATGTGTCCTTCCCTCCAGCTGTAGGACACTCATAACTCTGTCTGTGTGTGTGTGTGTGTGTGTGTTAATGTACTCTATGCACTTGCCATTCCAGCAAGGAATGATAGCAATAAAAAACATTAAATGAAAACTCAAGAGCAACTGTTCAACAGGACTAGTCCATATATATATATATATATATATATTACAGTCTCCTAGCAACCACCTGAAACACTGTAACAACTGCTTAGCAACATTAGAACACATTCAAAATTTAAGGTCTTTGGAATGTTTGTTTGTTTGTTTTTATTCATGTTGCTATGCGGTTGCACAGTAACACCCTAGAAACCACACAAAGCACCATAGCAATATGTAGGAAAACACTCAAAAATGCTTTTTGAATGTGTTTTTAACATGTTGCTATGCAGTTGCACAGCAACACCCTATCAACCACCCAAAACACCATAGCAACCGCATAGCAACATGTTAGAACACACTTATTCTAAGGTGTTTTGAATGATTGTTTGTTTTAAACATGTTGCTAATGCATTTTCACAGCAACACCATAGCAACATGTTAGAACAAACTCAAAACGTAAGGCGTTTTGAACACTTTTTAAAAAACATGTTGGTACGCAATTGCACAGTATCTGCATAGCAACAACACAAGTCAAGTCAAGTCAAGTCACCTTTATTTATATAGCGCTTTTAACAATACAGATTGTGTCAAAGCAACTGTACAGCATTAATTAGGAAAATAGTGTGTCAATAATGCAAAGTGACAATAGTAAACACTCATTTTTCAGTTAAAGGCTGTTCGTCATTGAATTCAGTGATGTCATCATCAGTTCAGTTTAAATAGTATCTTTGCAATCACTTGCAATCAAGTCAACAATATCGCTGGAAATGAAGTGTCCCCAACTAAGCAAGCCAGAGGCGACAGCGGCAAGGAACGAAAACTCCATCGGTGACAGAATGGAGAAAAAGACTTGGGAGAAACCAAGCTCAGTCGGGGGGGCCAGTTCTCCTCTGGACAGACGAAACCAGCAGTTCAATTCCAGGCTGCAGCAAAGTCTCATTGTGCAGAGGACTCATCTGGTTCCTGTGGTCTTGTCCCGGTGGTCGTCTGAGACGAGGTCTTTACAGGGGATCTGTATCTGGGGCTCATCTAGTTGTCTAGTTGTCCTGGTCTCTGCTGACTTTCAGGGCTGTAGAGGTCCTCTCTAGGTGCTGATCCACCATCTGGTCTGGATACGTACTGGATCCGGGTGACTGCAGTGACCATCTGATCTGGATACAGACTGGATCTGGTGGCTACGGTGACCTCGGAATAGCCTCATTTCCGGTTGACCTAATTAATGCAGCCTAAAAATCCTTTAACGGATTTGATTATACAAAGCACCACGGCAACAGCATAGCAACATGTTGAAAGACACTCAAAACCTCAAAAATGTGTTTTACATGCTTTTTTCACCATAGAAACTGCACGTTGTTACAACACACTCTAAATCTAAGGTGTTTTGAATGTTTTTTTTAAACATGTTGCACAATGACACCCTAGCAACCACAAAACAAGGAACATAGCAAACACACAGCAACATGTTAGAACCTTGATATCTAAGGTGGTATCAAGGTTGTTTTTTGTTTGTTTGTTTGTTGTGCAAAAACACCATAGCTACCACATAGTAACATGCTAGAAAACACTCCAAATCTAATGCTGTGTTATAAATATAAATGTGTTTTTTTTAAAACATGTTGCTATGCAGTTGCATGGCAACACCCTAGCAACCACCCAAAGCACCATAGCAACCACATAGCAACATGTTAGAAAACACTCAAGAGCAATGTTTCAGCATCACAGTCTCATAACAGTGAGCTCATCTGCTCAGTGTTTGACCATGAGGATTTACACAGTGAATCTCCACTCGTTTGACCTTGTAGCTTAAGGTGGACAATCTGGCGAATGTCAAAATGGCAACAGATTTTCAAATGACTCCATATAGTGCCATTAAAATGGTCACGACTCACACAGAAGATAGAAATGCACCATTCATTATCTTTGTCGACACCTGTCACCAAGCTGTCAGTTAGCAACATGTACATGCATTTACTTATTCCGATTGATTCAGAAATCAGTTTTTGTTTAATCCTAATGTCAATGAGGTCAGCCAATGACCTTCGACCTTCTTCCCCATACAGACACTAGCTCCTTTGTCAGAACCACAAATGTGCGTAATCGGGGTTAGGGTTTAGTGTAATGCGTTTAAGACAGTTGACCAGAGTTTGGCAGGACCGCATTGCCTGTTGCTTTGCCTGACAATTGCCTGGCAAGATTATGCTGGATAGATGTTTGGGTCACCTAAGAGGATTGAAGGCTCGACATACACGATAATACCTGACACCCGGAGATGGAGGTAAAGTAAGGAGAGACGGGCGTTTTCCCAGTTCAGCGCTGCTGACATTGGGAATATTATATGGGTCAAATACAACATAAGGTCTATAGCATAAATCAGCAAAAATATCCGCTCCGCTTTCTAGTTTGCTCTTCTCACGAACTGCCGTTTTAGACAAGAAATGAGTGGGAAAACAACATACTAAGCGTCTAAGTTTAGTTTTTATGTGCCATTTAGGATGTGACTTATTTGTTTCTTATTGTCTTTGAAGGACTTATTTCTGTCTTATGTGCTCACCAAGGCTGCTTTTATTTATGTAAAAGTACAATAAAATCAGTAATATTGTGATATATAGAACTGTTTTGTGTGTGAACATATTTTAAAATGTAATTTATTTCTGTGATGCGCAGCTGTATTTTCAGCATCATTACTCCAGTCTTCAGTGTCACATGATCTTCAGAAATCATTCTAATATGCTGATTTGCTGCTCAAGAAACATTTCTGATTATTATTATATGGTGAAAACAGCTTCATATTTTTGTGGAAGCCGAAATACATAGAAAGTTCAAAAGAACAGCATTTATTTGAAATAGAAATCTTTTGCAAGATTTTAAATGTCTCTACTGTCACTTTTGATAAATTTTTAATGCATCCTTGCTGAATAAAAGTATTAATTGCTTTGCATATCACAAATATGTCATTATATTCTAGCCGATACTCCAAAATATATTGTAAAATCCTGCAGCTCCAGAGTGATTATTCCCATTATATTTGGGCACAACATGCTACTTCATAGACATTCAGTTTATAAATAATTTTGAATATCCCTTTAACAGTGTAAAACGATGTATGCAGGGACTCCGGTGCTTCCGGTGTTGACATGAGCCGGCATTTGTTTCTCCAACATGGTTTTGCGACATGCCAGCTTCATCATTCCCCCCTCCGTATGCACACTCCCTTGTGTTGGCATTGTATGGCCAACAAAGCTCAGGCATGATAAATTGTTAAAGCTCGAGATTCCCTCTTGCCACGGAGCGGCTCTGTCAGAGGACGAGCTGTCAAACATGGTTGTGGGAAGGCGGCTGCGAGAAGCGAAGGCTGTCTGGTGCTGCTACTGTCTGAAGGGTATCACACATGCTGGTTAAACGAGGGCATATAAACACACACACACACACACTCACACAGCAGCGTTAAGTGGACAGTGAGCATTTGTGCTTTGCTGATATGCTATAGTATGCATGCATTTCAATGCATTTTATTTTGTTGAGCAGATGTGAATAAACGTGTTGTCTAGGACCGATGAAAAACATGTCGTATCTCTGAGGTCATCTGTGCGTGTAACCTACACCCAGTCAACTGTGAATACACATGAGTTCTGTTCAACATGACTAAAACAGAGATTATAGCAGGACATAAACACTGAATCCACTTACTGTGAGTTCAGAACGGTGAATGAATCAAATGTAAGAGACTATTTCCAGATCAGGTTTTCCAGATTTAATAATAAAATGTTTCATGGTTTTTACAAAAAATATGAAGCAGCACAACTGTTTTCAACATTGATAATGATCAGAAATGTTTCTTATGCAGCAAATCAGCATATTAGAATGATTTCTGAAGATCATGTGACACTGAAGACTGGAGTAATGATGCTGAAAATTCAGCTTTGATCAGAGGAATAAATTACATTTTTAACAGATATTCACATAGAAAACAGTTATTTTGAATTGTAATAATATTTCACAATATTACAGATTTTACTGTATTTTTGATCAAATAAGTGCAGCCTTGGTGGGCATGAGACACTTCTTTAAAATGTAAAAAAAAAATCATACTGACCCAAAAAGTTTGATGATCAGTAGTGTATACTGAATGTGAATGAATTTATATATATACATATAGATAGATAGATAGATAGTATTTCATGATATTTGTAAATCAAAATTCATATAAATTATTTAAATATTAAATATACTGAATTTGATAAATATTCATATATATTTTGCATTTTATTTTAACCCAGACTTTTCATCTTAAAATGTGAAAATCTGTCATAAAATATTATATTATATATATTATTATAATCTAATCCAAAAAGTAAAGTCAAGTGTACATTCATGTAAACAATTTAGTATTTATTTTGTGAAAATGATGTTTCGATATTTACATGAATTACAACTGTCCAAAAGTAAGTATATTTAGTAACTCTTGATACTAACAATATCTCATGAGTTAATCAAGTCACCTTTATTTATATAGTGCTTATACAATACTGATTGTGTCAAAGCAGCTTTACAGTGTTAAACAGGAAAAATGTGTGCTGATAATGCCAGAGGACAATAGAAAACAGTCAGTTTATCAGTTCAAGTCAGTTCATTGATGATTCAGTGATGTCCTCATCCAAGAAAAAAACCTTGGGAGAAACCAGACTCAGTCGGGGGCCCAGTTCTCCTCTGGCCAGACCAAACCAACATGGTGTGGTTTAAATCCAGGCTGCAACGCAAGTCAGATTGTGCAGAGGACTCGTCTGGTTCTCGTGGTCTTGTGCCGATGGTCATCGAGGTCTTCACAGGAGATCTGTCTCTGGGGCTCATAGTTGTCCTGGTCTCCGCTGACGTTCAGGGCTGAAGAGGTCATCTCTAGGTGCTGATCCACCATCTGATCTGGATACGAGTGCCTACAGTGACCTCGGAATACGAATGAAATAGACTAATATTAGTGTAGATGCCATTCTTCTTACGACGTAGCGAGTGCATTGGATATTATGATAAGTGTTCCCAGTTCCGGTTTACCTAATTAATGCAGTAACAATCCTTTAACAGATTTGAATTATAGAAATGTGTTAGTGTGTTATGTGTAAGCCAGGTTAAAGAGATGGGTCTTTAATATAGATTTAAACGGACAGAGAGTGTCTGCCTCCCGAACAACACTAGGTAGATTGTTCCAGAGTTTGGGCGCTAAATAAGAAAAGGATCTGCCGCCCGCAGTTGATTTTAATATTCTTGGAATTATCAAATTGCCAGAGTTTTGAGATCGCAGCGGACGTGGAGGACTATAATGCAATAAGAGCTCGCTCAAATACTGAGGTGCTGAACCATTCATGGCTTTACAAGTAATTATCAAGATTTTAAAATATATATACGATGTTTAATAGGGAGCCAGTGCAGTGTTGACAGAACCGGGCTAATATGGTCATACTTCCTGGTTCTAGTAAGAACTCTAATGAACTTTTCTGCATTTGACATTGAGAGCATAGGTCGTAATTTAGATCTATTTTTAAGATGGAAAATGCAGTTTTACAAATGCTAGAAACGTGTTTTTCAAAGGAAAAGTTGCTATCAAATAGCACACCTAGGTTCCTGATGATGAAGAATTTATAGCACAGCCATCAAGCGTTCAAGATTATTAGTTTATATCTCGCAATTCTGACTTTTTTCTCACGGTTCTGACTTTATTTCTCAGAATTGCGAGTTTAAATCGTGCAATTCTGAGTTTTCTGAGTAACCAGACACGGGACAGCAGGCGACGGTTCACTGGAAGCATTTAATCTGATACACACAGAACAAATAAGCAGCCTCTCAGATGAAATTGCCCTTATTGTTCCCTATAAAACAAACAGGTTATACACTTAATCACATGTGCTCTCGCTTCCACATATTTAGGTAAAAGACAGAAATATAACTCAAGAAGAGTAAAAATGACTCAAATAATCACACAGGTAAGGAGAGGAACATTAACACATGAATTTGAGTGAAAATAAAGATTTAAAATCAATACAATTAAATAAGATTATCAGGAAATCTCTCCTATGGGGTTACAATACAGAAAGGGAAGAGGAGGAGACAGAACAGGAAGTTAAGACAGCTTGTGATGCAATCACAGCAATTTTCATTTTGATCAGGTAACCACTTAGGATGTGACAAATTCTACTAAACAGTATATATATGCACACATATATGTTTAACAGTGTAATTTCAATACCTGTTACACAATACTGACTTTATAACTCACAACTGCCAGTTTATATATCACAATTCAGAGAAAAAAGTCAGAATTGTGAGATAAAAAGTCGCAATTATCTTATTCAGTGGCGGAAACGGGCTTCCATAGTCTTTAAACATCATCATCATTTGGTTCAGAAAAAATACAAACAAAATCTGTATTTCATGCACTGTATATGCATTGTTAGTAGACAGATGAGACAAACGAATAGCGTGTATTTTCTAAAAGTGCTCATAGTTGCAGAAACACTCATACACTGATTGGATTGTGAATGGATGAGATGTAACAGACATCCTGCGGATCAGCCTGTAATATTATTGTTTATGATCTTTCATCAGCATCACTGAGGAAAGGGTCGAATGGTTTCCTACTGTGATAATCTGCAGTGTGGTAATGCAGTGATCCTAAAGATTTAATCTGATTTATCGATGCCTCTGAATGTGATATGATGAGTATTTGCTAATACAAAGCATTTCATTTCATAGATGTGTTCCTACCTCACCTGTCCTCTGTGATTGTTTGTCTGCAGGAGTAAATCCATGTGTATGGTGTTTGGTTTCAAACTCAAGGATTAAAACAGGTTTGCCGTCACCAAGAATATGGATGAGATGTAACAGACATCCTGCGGATCAGCCTGTAATATTATTATTTATGATCTTTCATCAGCATCACTGAGGAAAGGGTCGAATGGTTTCCTACTGTGATAATCTGCAGTGTGGTAAAGCAGTGATCCTAAAGATTTAATCTGATTTATCGATGCCTCTGAATGTGATATGATGAGTATTTGCTAATACAAAGCATTTCATTTCATAGATGTGTTCCTACCTCACCTGTCCTCTGTGATTGTTTGTCTGCAGGAGTAAATCCATGTGTATGGTGTTTGGTTTCAAACTCAAGGATTAAAACAGGTTTGCCGTCACCAAGAATAAAAACAAGGCCTTTGTGTGTGGAGCATTTATCAGAGCGTCAGACGTCACACTGCCAATAAATCCAGTTTATAATGCAAGAAGTATTAAGCTTACAAATTCAATCGAAATACTGGCTTGATATCAGTATCTAGACTAATCTTTAACTCTACATGTTTAACCCTATAAAGCCTACTGTGTCATCTTGATATGCAAATTTCTCAAGCCTCAAAACTGCTGAAAAACTTGTCACACAGTCTGCTCCATGCCTTCTGTCGTCTGATTGATAGTTTCGACTTTTTTTATCGAGTCAAAGCTCTTTTAGTGTAATTGTACAAATGTCCAGCAAATCTTGACTGATTTTGATCAAGTAAACATCAGAATAACTGCAGTAATATATATTCCTGTGGCTCAGTGGTAGAGCAATGCGTTAGCAGTGCAAAAGGTTGTGGGTTCGATTCCCAGGGAACACACATACTGGTAAAAATGTATAGCCGGAATGCACTAAAGTCGCTTCGAGGGGGAAGTCTTAACCTAATGGTTAGAGAGTTGGACTTGTAACCCAAAGGTTGCGGGTGCATTATTTAAATCTCATCGTACTAAGACATATTACTGGAGATATAGAGTGATGACTGATATTTATGTAATTTTATGTCAGCATCTGCTGTACTGTTATAAAGATCTCATTGATTTACATTACAAGCGTCAGAATATCATCATAGAAATATCAGCATCTGCACCAAATTGCATATTTTTGGTCAGTTTGAGTCTCTGAATGAAACTGAGCTGTTTTTTCCTCTATATTCTCACTGTATCAGACTATATGAGCCATAAAAGCCTGATATATCAAATAAAAACACATGCAAACTTTTATATTTATATTTTGTCTAGAGGTCTGAAAACAAAACAAAAGAAAATAAATTCTGACTATTATTTGACATGTCAGGCTTTACAGGATTAAAGCTGTTGTGTTTGACCTTAAACCCACAAAGAACAAGTTTGCAATGTTCTCAATCCCATGAAAACTTGTAGTGTTTTCAAAATAAGGCATAAATCCTGTTACATAATCAAACTAGAGGGATTTGGATGAATGTTTTATAATAGAGTTGTGCTACTGTAAAAAGCTTCTTCCAGCAAGGCAGATCCAAGTAGATGCATAATTCATCATCCATGATTTGGTTGCGAGGCGTCATTTACCCTTTGTCACGATCGCCATTTGACCTGCTATAGTTTTTGATAACACTGAGAAGTATTTTGAACCCTGTTAAGTGTGGATTTGGAATGGATTCGATTGAAAAGTTCACTGGTTTTCACTTTCTGGTGCATTGGTGGTTGTTCCTGTAGCTCTGTGAACTGATAAAAGATGTTTGGATAAAAACATCTGCCAAATGCATAAATTAAAAAGTGAGTTGTGAAGTGTTTCCTAACTACTTTTGTTTCAAGATTCCACATTTTACTTTGCTCGTCCCATATAATACCTGTAGATGCACTGTGGTATTCTGCACTCTTATTGCAAGTTTCTTGCAGAGAAACATAGTTTTGTTTTTGTTTGTTTACATCCATAGTGCACCTATAATATAGCCTGGCTTGTATTTTCTTTCATTTTGTGTAGTAATAATATAAGATGACTGGACAAAAATTTTGGATTCAGTGGATTGTGCCAGTAATATTTTATTATTATGTACATAATATTACAGTATGTCTTCATATTTTTATTTAGCTTTTATTTGTATTTTTTTCATTTTCATTATCATTTAATATAAGTTGTAGTAATTCTGTTATGTGCCTTTATTTTTATTAATTTTTTAATATTTCTCTGTGCGCCTATAATATAGACTGGGTTGTTTTTCTTGAATTTTATGAAGTTTTATGGTACTAATAAAAGTTCATTTTAGTTTGTTATTAATTTATTAGCAGTGGATTTGTGCGTGTTCTTTTATTATTCGTTATATAATATATTACAAGATTTATTAATAATTTTATGTCGTTTTTATTTTTATATTTTCAGTTTTTAATTTCATTTATTGTAAGTTGTAGTAATTTTGTTATATGCCTTTATTTTTATTAGTATTTTCTTTAATTTTATGTATAGTTTAGAGCTTCGTGTTGACGTCTGCCTAATTTATCACGTTGGATTTGCACTATAGTTTTTAATTGGACAGATTTGGATGTCAACAAAACTTCTCCTCTCTTCTAAAAGTTGATAAGCTGTATCCTAGCCGTTCACCATTAAATGGTCAGTTGTGACCCATTTTTAGGGAAGCGACCTTCCCGCTGAGAACCTCGGTTCACGAGAGTTACACTGAACTCATCGACCTGCGGGATGGACGACCATTTCTGGACACTTTCCTTGGAGTTTTGCAAGTAATGAATAAAGAAAGTCAAAGCTTTCAGATAATTATTTGTTGAAATGGTTCTGCACTCAGTACATCGCACTGAGTTTGCTTGCTTTTATTTGCTTCATTGTCTTTGTAATTGTCACTGAAATCGCCGCATCAGAGGACTCGTTATGTAAACTAGTTGCTCGTGGTTCGCTCTGGGGCAACGGTGCTGTCTTGTACTGCATTCTGGGAGAATGCCGGTGAGGCAGATGGTGCTAACCCATGTGACCGACTCTCATCCGTGTTGTGCCGATGGCTGGGCTTTTTAAGGGTGACTGGCTTTGCTCCTGCGCCCTCTTCCAGTGAGCCTGCTGGGTTTGTTGAGTCTGAATCCTGTCTGAAACTGCACTCAGCCGGACCACCTTTTGAGCCCAGCTGGTTGCGATCGCTAATGATGTCTTTATCTAGGTTAGTGATTATTCCAGACAGCCGTAGTGAGAGTTTAGTATGTCCTCTTTGTTCGGACATGCACTG